TAACGGCGCCTTTAGGACATTATTTTCAAGATGTTGTTAAGAGAGAGAAGAGTAGGGTTTCTGGTATGAATTTGATATCTGCACAAAAAAACAAAAGAAAGAAAAAACTTTGACTCGCACCACAAAGTTTGCCTTTTGTTTTGCTAGTTAATTCCTGATTATGCAGCTTGTCTATTAAACCTAACGTTACCTGATCGACCGAGTCGTTAACACAACGTGAATATTTTTCATTGAGAAAGTTGAATAACTCGAATTACCGTCAGGCACTATTGTCAGTGTAGAACACTAAATGATTCCGTGCTTCTTCTTTTTTTTTGCCAAGATTTTATAATATTTCGATAGCGTATATACAGAGGTAGCGTATATACAGATCAGTAGTGTACTACGTTCTTTTCCTTGCAACTAATAACTATGCTAAAATGTCTACAGGCTTTACATAATTTTTAACTAATTAATGAATGCATTTAACTATTTAAAAAATGCTATATTTCTTTACCATACATGAGAAGTGCTTTTGGTGTTCTGAATGAAATATATAAATTATATACATAACTGGCAAATACACTCACGCCTGGCACGGCATTCATTTCGTTGACTTCAAAGTGGTGGTGGTATGACTTCAGTGTGTGCCATTCGACACGCGTGTTTACTGAATACGGGCGACCAGGAAAGGTACGCTCTGCAATAATCGTAACATTCGGTTGGTGTTGGCTTTACTTTGTTTGTTTTTGAATTTCGCGCAAAGCTACACGAGGGTAATCTGCGCTAGCCGTCCCTAATTCAGCAGTGTAAGACTAGAGGGAAGGCAGCTAGTCATCAACACCCAGCGCCAACTCTTGGGCTACTCTTTTACCAACGATTGACCGTCACATTATAACGCCCCCACGGCTGAAAGGGCGAGCATGTTTGGTGGGACGGGGATTCGAACCCGCGACTCTCAGATTGCGAGTCAAGCGCCCTGGCCGGGCCTGACTTTACTTTGTTGAAAGTGACTCTGACCGTTAGTGTGCTTTATTTAACTCAATTTAAACTTAGTTCAGCCAGTTTCTCACAACAATTTATGAAGTCAAGACACCAGACAAACAGATAACTCGGCTTTATAAACACACACATATATATAGATGTACAATAATCTGAAGAGAAAATATATATCTACAAATAATATTGGTCAGGACGTGGCCTAATGGTTAGCGTGCCGGAATGTGAATTCGAGGGTCCATGTTCACCTCTCGTTACTGCAAAATGTCGTTCCGCACTTTGAGGCCGTGAGTACTAATATAAGGATGACGGTCAAATCCCACTGATCCAATGAATTATCCCAAGAATTGGATTGCGTTTCCTTAAAATTCGGGACGGTTAGCGCAGATAGCCCTTGTATAGATGTGCGCGAATATTCAAAAACAAATTAATTATATTAGCAGCGATATTAATCTGGGAACTGAGCACGAACGTTTACTTTGAAGGAAATTTGATTAAAGTTGACGTTCTCATTCTATGGAACTCAGAGGTGATTATTATTAGTTTTGTTGTTGTTTTTTTCTCAAAGTAATTTTCCTAGATTGAACTTAGTTTGCATTAATAAAATGGTTATATCTTCAAATAAGAATATTATATCTGAAATCGATCTTCTTAAGTGTTTCCACTTTCATTAAAATTAATAATCTTATATTATAGCTGTGTTTTTTTTTTCTAGTCATTTATGAACTCGAAAATAAATGGGGTGTATTATCTCTTATATAGAGAGAGGGCAGTTAACTACAGCAAACAAACTTTAATGGTGTTGAACGTTTTCTGCTCCACCCTTTGTTTGAACAAATATTGCAACGAGGCTTGCTTCTAATTCCCAGAAAGTTAGCGCTAATATGCATCTGAGTTTGCATAAAATAAAAATAAAAAACTAAATAATACCTGCCACTCATAGAGATCTACAGTGAAGATTAGTAGGCATATTTGTTGATGCGTGTGTAGGTGTATGAATAGAGGAACGAGTAAAAAAGTTCGGATTCATTAACTTTCATAAAATCCATATTTACTTCCCGTGAATAGTTATATTTTATGGACCGCTTATTTTACTTAATGGTAATGAATCACACAGGTCCATAGTAAAGTTCTTGATTTGCTGCAAGTATACACTGTATAGGAAATTTATTGATGGAGGAAGTTCCATTTCCGATATGGTGTCTTTCAATTTTTAATCAATTCTATAAATTCTATAAATTGGGTGTAAATACAATTTGCAGGGTACTCTCGGAGAGAACTGCCAGGAAAAAATCGTCAGTTTAACGAAATGCTAGACTGACGATTTTTTCCTGGCAGTTCTCTGGCATTTTGTCACCTGGTCGTTTACAGACTATAAACGCTGAAGCCCTGGGTTCGATTCCCCGCTGTGAACAGACCCCATATAGCGCAGTGTATAGCTGTACGCTAAAATCACAAACAAACCAGTGTATATTTTGGCCTAAAAAGCTTTCGATACTACTACTATGTGCAAGTAGTTAAAATTAAATTCTAACAATAATAATAGGTAGGGGTAATTCCTCATTGATTTACAGTTGTCCTATTCTGAAAAGTAATGACGTGACGTGATAGCTAGAAGCTTATTACATCCACCCAACTTGTTAGCCATTTTGAAAAATTTGCTAATTTATTTTATTTTGTTAAGAGAGTTAGAAATACAAGCTCTTCAGAAATGAGATAAAAACACATAATCAATTTTTGTACAGTGAAACTATATAAAAGAATTTCACAATTAAATTCAAAGTGGTGTCTTCATTTAGTAATTACAGTAAGGTGTGGCGATCGGATATTGATATTCATGTTGTCATTGTTAATAGCCTATACGATTATCTGAATCTAATTATTAATTTGTTTTTAACTTTTTGATAACTGGAAACGAATTACTAAGTAGTTTTATCCAACTCTTCGGCTGTTAATCTGCTGTCATCTTCAGGAAAGTCCTGAAAAGAACCATTTTTTTTGTGTTACTAGTGGCTTTAAATATAGTTAAAACCATAGAATACACAAGTTACAGCCTATCAGAAGAGGAAGAAACGAAAGAATTCACTATAAAAGACGTCAGTTCAGAAATCAATGAAATATAAATCCACTATAATGCCATCCTATCAGAAAAAAAAACTATCAGAAACTTGAAGAAAAACAAGACCGTAACAACTTTTTTACAACAGACAAAGGTAATATCACTATAATGATGGACAAAGAGGAATACTCCATCAAACTCCACATTCTAGTTGCAGATGGCCACTACACTATAATAAAGGCTAACACATCAAACACTAGCCCAGAGCAACAATTAACCAACTTCTAAAGAAACACCAGAAAAAAGTTAGAACAAAAACATTTAAAGAACTAACAGCATTTAAAAGCACAACCACACACATCTATGGTTCACCTAACATTCACCAACGAGGTTACCTCCTCCGGCTTGTAACTAACTGCAGAGGTTTACCATACCACCCCTAAGCTGGATATCCGGTAGATATAATATCACAATTAACATGTAAAACATACTCGTTTGTTAAGAACACAGTTCACTTGATAGAAACTATAAAAGCAACCACGATAACCTAACAAGATACAATGACGTATTCAACCTATTCAATAACGTACCAACCACTGACATACTACAAGTATTACGCTAACAGCTTGAAAATAATATAACTCTTTATCAGTGCTTGAAATGGGGATGCATAAAAGGGGGATAAAAGAGGTAATGAAAAAGTGACAGTATGCAATTAGATACATATTTCTGGCTATGAAGTGCCGGTTCTCGAATATTAAATATAGAACGGCCGGACCATTTCAAGCACTGCTCTTTATGATTGCACCCAATTGATAATGTTCACAATAATCGAACTTGCAACCCTCTGTATCAATACAACCTACTTCTAGTATGAAGGTAAATACTACCAGCAAGAAAAGACCTAGCTGCAGGCTCACCCTTATCATTAGTACATAATAATCGCTACATAGAATATTAACACATTCAAAACAGGTCACAAGAGCTAGCTCAGATATGATGATTGTACATTCATAATTTGGCCAGACGCTACAGACAAGATTCAATAATTTACGAACCACATGTACAGCCAAGATCTCGCGATACAATATTTTCCCATTCGTTGAAGTAATGGTTACCAAGACGTATAACTCATAAACCACAGGAGTTTACAGGAAACCCGTAGATACGGATAACTGCTTCGATTATAAATCAAATAACCCAACAGTGTAAAGACAGGTATTATATACTGCTAAGTTTCTAAAATGATCACTATTTGTAATACCGAAGAAGCTAAGAAGGTTGAAGAAAAACACATCACTAAACCCTCCTTAACAATAAATAACTGGAACTCTTGATAAACAAGAAAATGAACCCTGAAAATAAACAGGAAGAAATTAAAAACACATAGCTATATGTCAAAAGGCTCTCTGAAAAAATATAGAGAACACGTAAACAACAAAGTTGAAACAACATTCAGAAGCCACAACACAATTAGTACACTTCAAATCACTTAACGACCCAATGGAGAGTAAAAACACCATTAACATAATCCTCTGTGAATGTGGATTCTAATACATTGAAAAAGAAGAGAAAAAAACCCAATAAAGTTAGAATTCATGAGCATAACAGACATACAAGACTCGACACTACCAATTTTTTGCAACTGTCCATCATGCCAGAGAAGATCATACGATAAATTGGAATGATAATAATCACTTAATTCAACTTTTAAGAGGACCCAGGATCGAATCCCGGCTACTACTAATGCAGAAAGAGTTCACTGAAGATGATAGCAGGGTAGCAGCCGAAACTTAGGATAACGCTAGTTGATAACTAGTACAGATTTTAGTTTTTCAAGAAAGCTATTTGTCGTTATTCCGTAAATACGAAACTTTCAGAGTTTCAGAGTTTTATAAAGTTATTTTCTTCCTTTCATCTAAATAACAATCAGAAATAAGAAACAACAACTTCACAGATGTGTTCGTGAAAGTAGTCCTGAATCATACGACAACATTTATAATCATTAAAACGCAGTTTTACCATTTCATTTGATTATGCTACTCCACTGAATGGTAGTTTTAATTAATGTTATATTGTTTTAATTTATAATTAATTATACTTAAGAACTGTTGAAGGACATTTAATAGTGTATTTCTTTAAGTAGATAAACATATTATTCAGTATCAAATAATTAATACACTGATCCGAACAGAAAATTCGGACGAATTGTCCTATATATTTTTTTATGTTTTCTTCCTTACTCGTCCTTTATTCTCCCGTTTTAGAACTTCGTCTATTATTCGAATTTTGTAGAAATATTATTTTGAACAGCATCTTTTTTTTGTTTAGGTTTTTGATATGATTCGTCACGTAAGTCTCTTCGTTGATATGAATAATGTTACAACAGACCCTCAAAGTAATTGAAACCCTCCTTGAACTTGTACTATCACAATACATAAGCTTTTCATAACATAGAACAATGCACTTTTTAACTAAAGCATTTTGCACATCTACATGCGGCATTGCATCTTGAATTTATTGTCGTGAAAATATTGAAGAAAGGTTCAGCAAACAATAAACTAGTTTTCATAGCATTCATGCAATGTGGTTATGAAAGTTTCTGATCAATGTACTGCATTTTATTCTTAAATATAAAGCCCCTAAATGCTTAAAGTTTAGTATAGAGCTTTTCTTGATAGAATACGATGCAATTTAATAAATCGGGATTTCTGAAGAGAAAGGGGCAACTTTTTACTTTTAACGATAGTACATATACGTCGGAACGGTGGGAAACATGCTCCCAATAATTAAATTGTGGGGCATGAATGTCATTTCCACCCCACCCCCAATATTATACTGACAATAATATGATTTAGTCTTTTTACTGTTCGTTAGGCATGTATAAAACCCATTTCGAAAAATGTGTCGTATGAAATGTTCATGAGGAATAGAACATATGTGAAAATTCGATTTTGTTATATACAGCAAACACTTTAATTTGTGTTTTGTATGTATAATATAGTAGTTGTTATTGTATGAGGTTGTTTAATAATGTTTTATAGCTATATTTAATTAATGCCATATAATTTTTATTCACTAACGACTAGCTTCCACAATGTTTTGTATGTATAATATAGTAGTTGTTATTGTATGAGGTTGTTTTATAGCTATATTTAATTAATGCCATATAATTTTTATTCACTTACGACTAGCTTCCACAATGTTTTGTACGTATAATATAGTAGTTGTTATTGTATGAGGTTGTTTTATAGCTATATTTAATTAA